TGGTCAGCCATACAGATACAAACCAAGTACCTTAGCTGGGGCATCGATCAGTCCCAGAGGTATCAGCTCAGAGAAATTCTCCATGCATTGGAGGCTTGTCTGTGTTTAAGATGACCTGATGGATTTGAGTGCATAGTTTTGAAGAGACAGTTTGTCTAAATATTTTTAAATAATTACAATTGCAATTCTCTGATGATTTGCATTAGGTTACAACTACAAGGAGCAATTCTGAGCATACAGCAGCGTGTCATGGAAGTCTGGTGATTTGTTGTTCTGATTTGTGCTGTTCAGTGAGAGTTTGAAAAATAACCTCAATGGATTTTGGGTCAAGACCTAATTCAGATCACAATTAATTTCCCTTAATTTTAAGGATTTTCTCTTAAATATAATTAAGACTCCTCAATATCAGGCTTCTTTCCCATTGAACAAAACTGATACTGAAGATCCCAAATAGACTTCTTCTCTTTTGTTCATTTTCAGGCATTCAACCACAGATGGAGCAGAACTCATTCATTCCTTTATTCAGCTTCATTTCAAGAGGCTTATAAACAGGCAAATTACCAAAATGGTCTCTCTATATTTTTAAAATCAATCTAGTTTGGTAATTCATTTACACTGCAACTTACTCATTATGTGGCTTTTGCTCAAATATACTTATTAGAAAAACTAGTAGATTCTTCGAGGACGTTAGAAGCCTCATTCTTCTGATCTATATTACACAGTGGAATCATTATCATCGGAATCAAAGACCTGATAAATCTCCAGTTATCTAGAAGAGTGGCAGAGAAAAGCCATAGAAAAGTTCACTGGGAAATGATGAGTTCAATTCTCCTCAGTATTACATTGACTCAAACACTTTGCAATCTCACATAATTACTCCACAGGTTACACTGCCATAACTGAAAACTGAATTGCATAAAATTTCCCTTATATCTATAGGTTTTGGAACTTATTTTCATTTGAGTGATTTCTTCTCTCAATCCTCCTTTCTCTTTGGGGATCCTGAAGAGTAAGAGCAGCTTAAAACTGAAACACTTAAAGCCGTTGAACTGTGGAGGAAATGTTAAACCTGAGACTTATCTGAAACAAATATGATTTTAGAAGATGCAACAGTTTTAGAAGTCTAAGCTATAACAACTGAAAGCACAGTAGCACTGCTAGTCCCTTGTATCCTAAAAGTTCTTCAAACCTCTATTGCAAAGTATGTTGATCAGTAGCAGCCTAAGTGCTCACCAATGTTTTAAGCTTGGATTGCTGTAACAGAAGTGTTAGTTCTACATTAATGAACCAGATAACCTGAAAGTTGCATGTGCTTTGTGCCCATTCTGTTCCACTCTCATACTCTAATTTACTCCCTCTCTCTCTACCCAAAAAATAATCAGGCTCAAAATCTGATATCATCAATGCCTGTTTCAATCACAAAGAGAGTGTGCTGCCATGTAAAATAGTAGAAAGGAGAATCTGTAGCCTCACTTTTCCTTGGAATTAGCATTTACACTTACAGTCTATTAAAGATGATATATCTCCAGATCTAAAAATTTGGAGAAAAGTGTCCTATGAAGATTGCTTACACAAATGTCATTCATTCTGTGAGGATTTCAATGAAATCAACAGGGTTTATTCACATAATGTTTATTTGTTATACAAACAGTTAGTATTTACTCACAGCTTCCTGCAAATGGCTCAATCAACCCTCTCATCAACGAACATAAACTCTTGCAAATTCTACCGACTTTGACAGAGGTATGTTAATTTATCCCAACTCATGAGTCTATGATTATTAGCTGTAAATCAGTGGTTGCATACATGACCCTCCTCCCCCGGATGCTTAAATGCCAAATGACTCAAAGCTTTTTCATCCATCACTAAAAACCCAAGCACTTTAGCTAACAGTGACCAAACTCCCTCTGATTTACATTTCACATCTAGAAACCACACAGGATACAGCACTTAGAGGAAAAACCACAAATGCTCACCATTGTCACTGTTGTCATCCACCAGAATGACCTCCTTGAGCAAGTGTGATGGGGTGTGATTCACAACGCTGTGCACAGAGCGCAGGATGACAGACAGAGCCTCATTTACAAATATAAAGACCACAGAGATCTGGGGCAGGTCATCTGGGTAGGTCATCTGTTTGCACCTGGAGAGATGGAAGACAAAATTAAAACCCAGCAGACACTGGGAGGCAAAATAGACTGAAGAGCATCATCTCCTTGCTCTCCATCATTCAGGGATTTGCAGACTTTGTCCTTTCTAGCCCCAAACACCAATGTGGTAAAAGCTCAAAAGATGTAACCCAGCTAGGAGCAGCAACCTTCCCATCAGCTTTGTATAAATCAAAGGGTACCTACATGCACACAGACTTGCAGCAGCTCTCATTCCCTGGAAGGTTAAAAGCAACCCTTGAAAACCAAAGGAGTATCAATGACTTTGCTCAAAAAAACCCTGGAGAAGACCCACAATGCCACACCTTGGCTATGCTCCCAGGGGAACCATCAGCAGGTCTGCTGGTAACTCGGAACCACGACACACTCAAGCAAACTTTGCATTTGTCTATACAAAGAGCACTTGCCATCCTTTCTGACTTTGCAGCTTGTGCAGCAATAGCAAACACATGGTGGTTGCTGTACAGGCATGCACATGCTGAAATATCTGCAGAACAGACCTGCTCCCTCTGAGACATCACCTTGGTAGGCAGCTACATCCTGATTCGCAATTTGCTTTTGTGCTCCTCACTGACACGTGTGTTACCATAGACATTTTGAGAACAAAAGCTGAGGCCCAGAGAAGTCACACAGCAAAGAGCAGAACTCCTGCTTCCCAAGCCCCCAGCCCATGACCTTCTGTAACACCACACTGTCTTATTTTAGTGGAATTCTCTCCCACTAGCAGAGACACTAACTTTAAAAACTACCTATGTGTTCTCACAGTCAAAAGCTATTCACAATTACCATAGCAATTACTGAACCTGCTCTCTAAAACACTGCTAATGATATCACAGGAAATGACTTCCCCTGCTCTTATCAAACTTTCTGACCTCTTTGCTCATTACTTCGGCATAACAATCACTTTTTTCCCCACTATCAGCAGTCATGGGGATAGGGAGGACGACAAATGCTTGACTGTTGAGCAACCTCTGGAAATCAGTTATGAATTCTAGTAAAGTGCAATTATTCATAATTTCCCATCCCAGCACTATTTGCTGAGAGACCTGAGTACTTGTCATTGATTACAGTGTGACCATAGCTACTTACTCAGCAGCTTGCTGGTGGCCTCTACTACACAGAGGACCACTGTGTGAAACTTCTGGCTAAGCAGCATTCTTACACAGCCTAAAAATAAATCTGGAACAAGGACAGAAGTTTGCAGGAGGTGTGAGAGCTGTGATACAGCCCCTTTTGAATTTCTTTTTGAATGCAATTTTCCTCTTGACCACACTGACATGTCAAAGTAGTCCACCAGGAATACTTCACTAACAGGAAAGAGCCATCAGCCAAAAACATGGACCTTGCAAGATTTCCCATGATGAAGGACATCTTTGATCCAGCAGCAATTTGCTCTAGAGTCTCTCTTGTATCAGCAGGACACAGCACATTGCATCTCAGTAAACTGGATTGGTACCCAGGGAGGGGGTGCACTGCTGGTGGAATTGAGGCAGAGGAGGGAGCCCATCCCAGGCCATCCATCCTCATGGGGTCTTGCATCAGCACTCAGAGCTAGCAGTAAAGGGAAGAAAAGAAACTGTAACCAGACTGGAGACTAAAAGAAGGTTGTGACAGATGAGCAGGAGGAGGGAGTACAGCAAGAATGAGAGGGCAGTCAAAGCAACACTTAACTATGTAGAGGGACAAGTACTTAAAGGAAAGGTTGGATGACCATAAATGTCAGAAGCAGAGACACGTATGGAAGGACCAAAGTATTTTGCCTAGGAGAAGACACTGAACCACTGAAATAGTACAAGACCTCAGTGAATTAGGCTGAGCTTCCTTTATCTTCTGATCAAGAAATTTTGGCAAACTTCTGGGAGTAAAAAGTCTTTGTTTATTGGCAAGGGAACTTAAACACCTGGGCACCTAGCCACATGTTCCTGTTCAGGCTGAAAGGCTGAGCAGGACTAGTCCCAGTGCTTTTCTGCCATCCACTTTTATTCTGAGAAAAACCCCAATTCTAATTCAAGCTTTAAAATCAGCACATGTAAACCATAACATTTGATTTATTTGTTCTTTTGCATATTAAATCAATATACTATTGTGCTAAGTGTGGTTCCATGGTCTTGCTGGTTCACAAGACTTTTCATGCCTTGGTTCTCAGTGATTACTTACATTGTAGGGCATCATGGACTGCTTTAGATAAAAGACTAGTTTGAATTACTTATGCCACCTGGATTAATCCACCTCTATCACTTCTCACTGCAATTTTCCTTCTGTCAGTTCTCCCCTTTTTCTATTAGTAGGATATAGTTGAAAAACTGCATAATGGCTGCATTGAGAAAGAGCAATCCAACCATTACATATTGGAATATCTTGGGCAATCCCACTGCAATAGGTACACCTAGTTGGGCAAAGACAGACCTCAGAATTCAGCAGTGGTTTAAAAGCTGTCATATCTGTATTTATTATTACAGTGAGGATGAAGAACAGCAAAAGCAGCTGTCCAGCTGAGTAGACTTTTCAAAGCACAGCAGTGATTTAGGGATTTATTTTCTGCAGGCTTCGAGTCAACCTTGAACTCCCAACTCCTTAAGTTACTTCAGAAAATGAGATAGATGTTCTGAGATAGTCAAGAGAAAGTACTGTCCACTAACAAACACTTCTGATGATGTCTGAGACCATTGAGCAATCCCAGTTAAGGGGCCTTTCCTTAAAAATCAGTGGGTGCTTAAGTGCTTTGCTGGATTGTTGCCCAAGTTCTTCCCAATGTATTCTCTAATTAGATACCAGGCACAGCAATTTACAGTTAATACTTCCCTCATTCCAAGAAACTCCAACCAGCACTTGACACTCTGAGCCAAATAGTGACATTAGTGAGTCACCCACAAGAACACGCTGCCATCAAAGCACGACCATGCTGACTGTCACCTCATGCCACCTTTCCTCAGCCAGAGGCTGATAACAGACCACGTGCACTGCAGAGCCTTGGTCAATCATGCCTGTATGCAAGGTGGGAATAGTCAGAGTGCCAGGACACATGGAATCCTCCTTGGTGCAGCCCCTGACTCTGGCACTGGAGCATGGCAGCAGGAGACAGCTCATTACAGAGAAGACCTAGGAAAAATGTAAGGCTATCACAAGCCTATTGATTCTGAATAAGGCATAGGACATCCTCACAGAAAATGGCTGGAGCAGCAGCCTGGAGACAGAGGGAAAGCATCAGGCAAGAAACCTATGAGCTAATGATAGAGGAGCTTAGCATGAGCCTAGTCACTTTTATCATTTATTTTGAGAAGAAAAGTACCAGAATGGGAAGAACTCAAACTGTACAAAGACATACTAGCCAGGCACACCCTTATAATCCTTCAACCTTACCACCAACAGAACTGTGGCAAAAAAATTAAGAAATCATCCCTTTTCGGTAGCCCTGATGCGTGCAGCGAAGTGCCTGGGTGTTTAAGGCATCCTCCTTGGGTTTGCTGCCCTGCCTGCACCAGCACTACACCCAGCACTCTGCCAGGGAAGGGAGCTGGGTACCACCATGCTCTCCACTTCTCTGTGCTAGGTCTGACCACATTATGAACTCTGGCAACTGGGTGAGGGAAGACAATTACAGTAATTGATAGCTGAAACTTGGCCTCATTAACATCTGTCTAACACTACTGAGTTCGGGAAGAATTTAGAGCATACATTTGACCTCTGTGGTAGCTAACGATGGTCTAAGCTGGCCAGGCATAGCTTACATTTAATATTACTGTGATTTTAAATTAGTATTATGAACTGTCACCAGGCCTCACAGTGTACAACCAGCAAAGAAGCTCAGGTCTGCATGAGAAGCAGTGCCCGTCTCCAGGACAGACAGGTACACCGGAGAGGGACACACCACTGGATGCATTTAGGGCTAGTGATTCAAAGCACAGGCTGACAATGCCATGGCTAATAATATCCATGGGCCAACTGAGGATGGATTAGACCTGATATGTGAAACAGCCCTTCAGGCACCGTTCATACAACATGCCAAGCATCAAACCTGAGGCATCCTGCTGCTGTCTTGGGAAAGGTCTTTGAGTGTTCTTGCTCTGTATTTGCAACTGCAGAGCTTGGCCGGCAACCCAGAGGTATTTCCTTTGTACGTGACAGAGAGCTTGATGTCAGATCGTTTTTCTTTGTTCTGGAGATGATTTT